CCCCCCCCCCAACTGCCAATGAACATTGATTACTTACTCTTGTCACTGTATTACAATGAGAACATACAGTATTTGTCTTTTTGTTATTGACTTAATTTGTTCAACATAATGTTCTCCAGGCTCATAGATATTACAGAATGTTTCAGAAACTTATATGGTAGTTCCATTAAAAAAAAACTATTCTTTTTTTAAACTTCCTAAAAATAGTCTTCTCTTTTCTGCAATTGCTATATCATTTTGCATTCTTACCAGCAATGGGGTGAGAGTTCCACTTTCCTCGTGTTCTTGTCAAAATTTGTCATTTTTCCCTTTTAAAAATCTTAGCAATCCAAGTCAGAGTGAAAAGTCACCTCATTGGAGTTCTTGTTTGCATTACTCTGATGCCTCATAACATTGAGCATTTTTTAATATACATGTTGGATATTTGATTATACGCTTTGGTGAAGTGTCTGTTTACAAACGTTTACAATTTTTGATAGAGTTATTTGTCTTCTTCTGTTATTTGAAGACATTTTAAATATACCATGCTTTAGATATTAGGTCCTAATTCAGTGGTTCTCAACCTTCCTAATGTCGTGATCTTTTAATACCTCACATTGTGGTGACCCCTAACCATAAAATTATTTTTGTTGCTACTTCATAACTGTAATTTTGCTACTGTTATGAATCATAATGTAAATATCTGGTATGCAGGACGTATTTTCATTGTTACAAATTGAACATGATCAAAGCATAGTGATTAATCACAAAACAATATGAAATTATAATTCATGAAGTGTCGTTTTACCTCCAATACTGTTGCTTTCAACACAGCAGCTGCTTTCTACACAGTAGCTGCTCTCTACACAGTAGCTGCTCTCTACACATGTGTGACTGGTCCACATAAGTACATTATGGCGCCAACCCTGTCACATACACCTGTATTCGTACAGGGTGTATGCGATGGGGTTGGCGCGATGATGTCATCACACCAGGTACTTGTATGTGGGCATATCGGTATGGGGGCGAACCCGTCTGGAAACTGATAGAGGAGCGGTGTCTCAGTTCCTAAGACCATGGGAAATATGTGTTTCCCATGGTCTTAGATGACCCCTGTGCAAGGGTTGTTCGACCCCCAAAAGGGTCGCTACCCACAGGTTGAGGACAGCTGTCCTAACTGATTCCATTGTTCCTGAAGATCTGTGCCCAGTGTGTCGGCTGTCTTCTCACTATTTTAATAAAACCCTTGGTGAATATGAGTAATTTTTGTTATATTCTAATTTATTTTGTTCTCTGCTGTTTTTAATATATAACTGGGAAAAATTAAGGTCTATAAATATAAATATAGTGCCTATATTTTCTTTCAACGACTTTATGGTTTTAGATTTAACATTTAGATTCTTGATCAATCTGGAATTAGTTTTCATCTGTGGCATAAAGTATGGAGATTGTTTCATATATTTTGCATGTGGAAATTCAGTTTTGCCGGCATCCTGTGTTGAAGAGACTCTTCCAACCCCCATTGAATGGATTTAACTCTTTTGTTGAAAATCAATGGACTGCAGATGCTTGAATTCATTTATGGGTTGTCAGTGATAGTTTATTAGTCTATGTGTCTATAATTAAATCAATACCAATCTGTTTTGAGTACTACAACTGTACAATATATTTTGAAGCTGGGAAATTTGAGACTTTCTATGTTACTGTTCTTCTAAAATGCTTACAAACTTCAACGTATTTTGCCTTTACATATAAAAGAAAGGATTACTT